AAAATAACTAAATTTTTCAATCCCAACCCCCCACAAATAATAATTGAAAATTTTTAAATAACCTTGCATACATAATCCTGACATAAACCCAACAAAACACAGCAGGTGCGTTGCACCTGAAACACGTCAATCTCACGGTCAAACAGAAGTTTTCTGTTAGACGTTTCCAAGAATGACGTAACTACCGATCATTAGTTTGTGCTTCCGGTATCACGTAATCCCTAAAACATCGTCCATCATCCTGCCTGGTTGGAGAGTCCTGGCGAAGACTTAGCAACGCCCTCGGGGTATCCTGTGGAGGTTTCAGCGAGTCCTCGTTTCCTTACCCTTCAGCCTAGCACAGTTTGCCCAACTCTGACAAAGCGATTTTGTATTGGCCAAGGTATCTTGTTCTCGTGCATGCACTCGTTCGCGTACATCACTTGCATATACATCAATCAATCTACTATTATTCGTTCTTTTCAATTCCAAACATTTAAAATAATATTGTATCAAATTTTGTATAAAGGGGAAATAAAATTTTGAGGTGTGAAGTAGTCATGAAAGTTTTAACATATGACATATATTTCTAATGTACACATATCAATGTATGTTGATGTTTTTATTTAATTTACATATATACTTGAATATGTAATAGTAATAATTCCAAGTGTGTAGATACATTGATTTTGTTCTTTGAAAAATATATTCAATGTACATAGACACATGTGCTACCTACACGAACATAACATGTGTAATAATAATAATGTATATTCATTAAATAGTAACGTAATACTAATAATTCCAAGTGTGTAGATACATTGATCTAGTTCTTTGAAAAATATATTCAATGCACACAGGCGCATATGCTACCTATATGAACATAACATGTGTTACAACACATGTAAACATAAAAGTGTACCTACCACTACATTCACACGTAACATATATATCACAGATTTAATTAAAAAATACTTAATTCAACTTGCGATATGGGTCACTTTTCGAGTGTTAATAATCCTGATTCTTCAAAAGGAAGTAAACCTTGACAACCAAGCTTTCAAAGCAGTCCCAAATTACATACAGAGACACGTATGTATTAATGTGTGAACGAAAAGCAGAGCAGGAATCTGAGTGATGTGAGCCGATCGTTTAACGTTTTCCCATAGCGAGTGGATCTGACCCGGGATCGGACCTCGGTCGGTCGGTGGGCCCAAGAAATCGCCCGGGGTAATCACGCTGCTCTTCCTCCGCCCCTGGTACCGTTTCCTCCCCCGTACATACACCCTTTCCGCACCGTGATCCCCACAGACAACGCGTTCTTTGCCCGCGAGCATCATATATACATCTCTTTTGTTCCTTTTCGGTGATCTCTCACTTTTTTTCACCTCTCTATCCACCACCCCTCTTCTCAGTTTCTTCGACCTTCTCCTTCTTCTTCGTTGCCGAGTTCATGGTTGAGTTTGGATCTTGCCCCGTCAGACTCTATTGTACGGAGCGCTGTTTGATGGAGTGAAATATGATGTCAGTGGATACGGATTTAGATGACTGGGTGTTAGGTGGAGATGTGAGGGTGGGAGGGTGAGCTCAGGGTCAGTTGCAATTTGGGAGTTTTGGGATTTGAGGTGGTGAAGTTGGGGATTAGAGATTTGGGGATTGGGGATTTGGGATGTGGGGATTTGGGGGATTTTGGAATTTGGGGGATGGGGATTTGGAATTTGGGGGATTTGGAATTTGGGGGATTTGGAATTTGGGGGATTTGGAATTTGGGGGATTTGGAATTTGGGGGATTTGGAATTTGGGGGATTTGGAATTTGGGGGATTTGGAATTTGGGGGATTTGGAATTTGGGGGATTTGGAATTTGGGGGATTTGGAATTCGGGGGATTTGGAATTTGGAGGATTTGAAATTTGGAAAATTTAGGAATTTGGAAAATTTAGGAATTTGGGGGACTTGGAATTTGGGGGATTTGGAATTTGGAAAATTTGGGAATTCGGGGGCTTGGAATTTGGGGGATTTTGAATTTAGAAAATTTGGAAATTTGGAGGATTTAGAATTTGGAAAATTTGGGAATTTGGAGGATTTGGAATTTGGGGGATTTGGAATTTGGGGTATTTGGAATTTGGGGTATTTGGAATTTGGGGTATTTGGAATTTGGGAATTTAGAAATTTAGAAATTTAGAAATTTGGGAATTTGGGAATTTGGGAATTTGGGAATTTGAGAATTGGAACTTGGAATTTTATGAATTTGCAATATGTAAACCGTCAAAAAGAGATGTGGTGATGATAGAATTGCAAAGAGGACATGTTAAATTTGAATTTGGAAATCTAATTGAATATTCAGTTCTTCGAATACCTAGAAATTTATGAACATAAACCTAAAAGCTCGTAAACTTGACATATGCGTCGAAAGGTAGTGAGCGTTGCACCGGAGTGTACCGTCGAAAAGAGCGCGAAGCAGAGAGAAAGACGACGACGATCCTTTCGGTTGGTATACACGATATAACGTCGTCCTACCTACCCCGCGGTGTCTTCTCTTTCTCTGTCTCGTCCGCTAAAGTCAGATCGCCCACGGGCTCCACCAGGCCGTCGTTATTATATGTTATCGCCATGGAAGGTATGGGAACCGGCCTGAGGGGGCACCGGATACCTACGTCGGTATTTCCCCCTCGTTGTGCCATAACGCACCGTCGAGATACACGAAGAACCGACTCTCCAACATCTTTCTCTTTCTCTCGTTTCATTCTCTTTTCCTATGTGCTCGGTGGCCTTCGTCTTTAGCACAATCTCGTCCTCTTTGTCCTTCTCGTCCTTTTTCCAGGGCACTCGTCTATTATATGCTAAATTACGACGACCTTCGTGCACGCAGAATCTTGGATCAAAAAATATAAAGCTGGTACTTGATGACAACTTGAGGAACGATTTCAGTGGTCTTTGTAGGGGATTGAAATAATATAGACATGAGATGCAATCAAGGACTTAAGATTACATGATTGGATCTTGATGTGAATGCTTCTTAGGATTAGAGATTTTTATTAGAACCTATGGAATCTTGATCCAGTAATCAAAACGTGCAGACTATTAGAACTTGAAGAATATGCAGAGGATTTAGGAACATAATATTAAGCATACAATAACGGAAGAGTTGAAAGTAGCAGAATGATTGAACATCTTACTTGTGAATGATATACTTGAATTTTACGTCGTATAGCGATTATAATCTGCACTGAATGAAATATTTATTGCATTAAATTAACATTGCAGCTTTGCCTGTAACATTGCAATGAATAGTAGCAATTAGTCAACAATGCTGTTGCTATAAATAGGACAAGGTTAGAATAGTTAATAGGAACCCTCAGTTAATAGGACAGTTAATAGGAACCATCTAAGTACGATGATAATGTGCCTCATATGAGAAACCTTCTGAGCAAAAATTGTTTTGTACGACATATCGAGTGCAGAGGAACGCAAGAATAGTTCAACTGGATGCAACGTGAAACGCGCTCGAAAATGTCACGGGCACTTTCTAAAGCCGAGCCGGAAAAGGTGGCACGGTTTGACGTCGATCATCTGCATATCCGTGTCCATTAAGTCACTCATTTTGTACATTGTGACATTCATCTCTGCAGCTATGATCATTTGAAGAATTTGAGACTTGGGTGGTTGAGGGATGTGGGTTTGGTATTTGAAGAATGTGAGAGTATGTGGATTTTGCAAACTGTGAGAAGTTGAGGATTGTTCAAGGTCATTTTAAAGAGTACTTATCAAGGTTCTTTCAAATGACAGAAGAGGTGAATCTCTCATTTTACCCTTTCATCCCTTTTAGTTCTTTCACTGTTATCTTTTCTCTGGTTCAGCTTTCACGAAAATAAGGGCTCCGCGGCACGATAACCGGAATAAAGAGGTGATCGAGGCCAACGATGACGAGATAATCGATCGTTGCCACGGGATTAAGCGATCGAAATCGCGTAATAACCCTCCATCGATATTTTGATAGTGGCCGATCGTATCTGTGCTTTTCGCATCTTCATTTCAATGCTGCCTCCAAACATTTTTCCCTAAAAAATTTCAAATTGTAATTGTGTGTAATTTCGCGGCAATTTAAAAATTTCCAAAATCCCGAAAAATAAATGAGTGGAATTAAAACTGAAAATTCTTGATTGTCATATTTTCCTTAGAAAAGAATTCACTTCGCTTTAGCGGCACTCTGAAATGATTTTGAGATGCTTCGCAGCGTGACATTAATCGGGTAACCGGAGATCGTCAATTAAAGAGGAAGCAAAGTGGCGACTTCGTTAAAAATTTCGGGTTATAACAGCTGCGGATTTCGACAGGTGATCCGCTACACAGGCACCTGCCGTTGAAACGGGAGACGCGAAAGCGTAATTTGTGCGTCGCTACTCGCGGAACACCCGATAGCCCCAAGTGTAACCGTTTAACGATCCATCGATCAATGGGATTTAAGATGATGCAAAAGACCGTGACGATACAAGCTTACAAATGGCATCATTTTGTTCAATAAATTAAACGGTCCGAGTCCCACAGGGCAGGTTTCGAATGCAACCTACTTGTGTGGGCATTTGTTTAACACGGTTGCGTGTAGCTTCTTTTTACTCATTGAAAGCTTACAGGATGGTATATTTATGTACCGAAGTAATTTGTATGCATCGCGTTGTAACGAAAATAAATGGGGTTTCAACATTTTTGGGCTTGAATTTAAAGATTGATTATGCTTAAATTTAAAGAAAATTTGAGGGACCTTGCACTTCGATCAAACCTGGCAGGATTAGACATTAAATCCTATAAAACTATAGCTCTCAACTCTTTTGAATGAAGATATTCATCTAGGTTACGCAACCTAAAGACATTGCACATCACAAACTCCATGACTTTACAACTTCACGATCTTAATTGAGCAATTTGTCCAAGCAAAGTTTGAGTGAAGGAAATTGATATTATCACTAATATGCTAACTGGCACCTTCGAGGAGTTATGACAGCCATTTGAATGTTTGTCCACAGATATCCAGAGTCGAGACTAGCGAAATTATTCAACGGCAGTATCCCCATCGTGCTGGACTCCCTGAAGCAGCATTATTTCATCGACAGGGACGGCGGGATGTTCAGACACATCTTGAACTTCATGAGGAATTCGCGTCTGCTGATACCTGACAATTTCGCGGACTTGGATTTGCTGCTGGAGGAAGCGCGATACTTCGACATTGCACGTAAGCATTCATGTTTTGAGAAAAGTTGAAGTTGATGTAAGTTATATGAAATTGGTGAGGCATGTGGAATGTTATGAAGTTTGTGGGTTAGGGACGTGAAGGATGTACATGAGGTGGCATCACCTTAATAGGACACTCTTCAATAGGATGACAGCGCATGTACATCATATGTGTCCATATGTACTCCATATATTCCAAATGTACTCCAAAAGAACTCCATATACTGCTCACACTATCATACTCTTCAATAGGACACTCCTCAATAGGAGTATGACAGCTCATGTACATCATATGTGTCCATATGTACTCCACATACTCCAAATGTACTCCAAAAGAACTCCATATACTGCTCACACTGTCATACTCTTCAATAGGACACTCCTCAATAGGAGTATGACAGCTCATGTACATCATATGTGTCCATATGTACTCCATATATTCCAAATGTACTCCAAAAGAACTCCATATACTGCTCACACTGTCATACTCTTCAATAGGACACTCCTCAATAGGAGTATGACAGCTCATGTACATCATATGTGTCCATATGTACTCCACATACTCCAAATGTACTCCAAAAATACTCCATATACTGTTCACACTATCATACTCTTCAATAGGACACTCCTCAATAGGAGTATGACAGCTCATGTACATCATATGTGTCCATATGTACTCCACATGCTCCAAATGTACTCCAAAAGTACTCCATATACTCCAAAAGTGCTCCATGCACTCCTCACACTATCATACTCCTCAATACGACACATCCTCAATAAGAGTATGATATGTCATGTGCATCATATGTGTCCACATGTACTCCATATGTTCCTCACACTACATGTGGAGCATCAAACACATCCTAATCCTCATCTAGCTACTACTGGTAACTAGTAATCCTTTAGTAGATCCAGTATGACAAATCCAAATTGTCTACCAAATATCTCTCCCTGAATCCATCAGTCACAAAATTATCCACCAGCTCTTCTAACATCCTCCATCAACCACCACAAGCTCCTCTCCCTCATCCTCCATAAAATAAACCACCACCTTAATCGTCACAAACTTATCTACCAACTTCTCTCCCAGCACTCTCCATAAAATTAACCACCACTTCAATCATCACGAAATGATCCACCAGCTCCTCTCCCAGCATCCTCCATAAAATTAACCACTACCTCCACCATAAAGTCAACGATCTCACAAATCACGTCCCTTGTGTTCCAGCGATGTGCAGGCAGCTAGAACAAATGAAGAAGGAGCGTATAAAAAACGGTTCCACGACAACAACCACGTCGTCCTCGTCTCCGAGTCCTCCGCCCGCGAACCAGCAAAGTGCCCGTGGCACGAGCTGCACAACGGTGCCCTGTAACCGGGACTCAGAGAAGCTCCGTGGCAACGACGGCAACTGCAGCTACGAGTGCGTCGCTCTACATGTCAGCCCCGATTTAGGGGAACGCGTGATGCTATCCGGTGGTCGGGCACTGCTCGACGAGGTGTTCCCGGAAACGACGCAGGCGGTGATCGACGCCAGATCGGGTGTCGCCTGGCACCAACAGGACACCCGTCACGTGATCAGGTTCCCGTTAAACGGCTACTGCAAGCTGAACTCCGTGCAGGCCATCACCAGGCTCCTAAACGCCGGCTTTCGCGTTGTCGCCAGCAACGGAGGCGGCGTGGAGGGCCAACAATTCTCGGAGTACCTGTTCGTTAGACAGGCCGTCAACACCTGACGGAACAACGCGCACCAGCGCAAAACGACCTCGAGGACGATCCGTTGTTTACAGCGGGAACTCGAGTGAGTTGTCCAGGAGAACTCTTCAAGACTGCGTCACGAACGATGAGCGGTGCCACGCTGTGTACAGATTCCCTGGGAGATCGCGAGAGATGCAGTAGAATTTTATTTATTGGAGGATTTGCGTGACAGCAACTTGATGTCAGGGTGTTCGATGATCACACTGTTATTCTACGATGATAGATCGCTACCTTGAAGTTCAAGGACAAATTATTTTGTTGAAGTATTGCGAGACGATATGTTCTGTAACTCGACTCAACTCATTGAGAGAATGAAGGTCTGTAGAAATTGTGGGTTGAAACTCAATTGCTTGGAAATGTTATTATTTCTGATTCAATCAGTATTGAATATGATTCAATTCTACTGTGAAGAATGTTTGTGCACTTATGATACATATATCAAACTTTGATGGGGTAATCTGCAAGATATATAGATAAATAAATGAACGAATCATTTGTGTATTCTTTGTGGACTTCAATTTCTCATAAATATAGACTACTGATAATTTTTGTTAAGCGCAACAAATTTTTGAGAGATGATCTAGAAATGTAGAGTAACAATGTGGTAATTGTTATATAAAACACCCTGTACTTGTTATTAATAGACATGCAGGTACCTGGCTCAGTGTCCTGATGTTCAGTTGTTGTCAGATTCATCAGGGGGTGATATCGATATTCTACTAATAATAAATATGGAAAATAGGGCTGTGAGAGCCTCAAGAATCTGATAAAGGCGTACTGATTTCCTTTTCTTATTAATGATTTTGATTACCATGATATTTATTTTATGCTACAGGAGAGTTTATGTAGCCGTTATGTTTGGTTTGGTTCGTGTGAAATGTTGGGAGCAATGCAATCATGCATGCGAAGGGGTAGGACATTTCATGTGTGCCAATCTAATACAAGGGTGGTGTTGCAGATTTCGAGAAATTAGAGTTCAGATAAATGAAACTCTACTGTGTCGCTGTTGCTAGTGATGGGATCGATATCGAATGAAATGAAAGTATCGTTGGTTTAAGTAGATGAGGTTTGGGAATTTCTGAAGTCCTGAACTTTCAAGTTTCTGAATTTCCAAGTTATTCATTTTGTTTAAATTCCCAAATTTTCAACTCCTAAATTACTAAATTCCAAAGTCCCTAAATTTCTAATTTTCCAACCCCTCAAATTCCTACATTTCAAAATTCCCAAATTCCCAAATTTTTAAACCTCCAAATTCCTACATTTCGAAATCCCCAAATTCCCAAATTTCCAGGACCCCAAATTCCTACATTTCGAAATCCCCAAATTCTCAAATTTCCAGGACCCCA